AAGTCAGGGCATGGCTAACTCACAGATGAAACCCTGAAACAACCTCTGAGCTGATCAAAGTCAGGGCACGGCTAACTCACAGACCAAACCCTGAAACAACCTCTGGGCTGATCAAAGTCAGGGCACGGCTGACTCACAGATCAAACCCTGAAACAACCYGAGACCTCAAATGGGAGAGGTAAAATGCGCCATGACTATGCTGCCTTTACAGGTGCGTGAGTGATTAACCAAAACTTACACCTGCCTATAAAAATAGCCAGATTGCTTTCCAATTTTGCAGGATAAATATTTTTCACCAGTGTAACTTCACCTGAAATTTATTTAAATCATTTTCACCTGGCATCAATTGAATTCGAAATGGATTTTAGCTGAAATGGAAAAGTATTACGATCAATCAAGCTAAAGAGGTCTATTATACTTCTAATCCTCATACAGTATCAACATGTGGACTATGATGAAAAAGTGATATATTGTTTGTAGTGTCTAGATGTCATTTTTGTTTGGTTTCAGCTGATGAGAATCCCTACCAGTCAGAAGCAGAAAGTGCAGAGTTTTTCTCCTGTGGATTCCTTAAAGACACCAAGATCTTCGTTGCAGACAGTCTTGTTGATGAGGTATGATTTGAAAACGCTATGCATTCGCTTCTAATTCAATTTTTCTTAAAATTGTTTCTTGCTTTTCTTGTTCTTTTGTCAATATCCAGCGATTGTTTGCAAAACGAGACAAATAGATGCCCCCTCCCCCCCCCCCCCTCCAGTCGTTTCTGTGAAACTGTCAAACTTTCCATTCCTTTCTTCTTTCTCTACTTTTTTCTTTTTCTCATTTTTTTTTTCTTTTCCTTTGTTCTTTTCTCAAGTCTAGCGAAGGTTACAACAAGACAAATGAGACTCCCCAGGGGTACCCTGCTGAGTGCTTGTTATGTGAAGTAGAAGTGGGTAACGATGATTATAACACATCACCACAAGAATGGATCTATGAACAGAAGTATCGCGAATATTATGCCCACTTCAAACTAGTAAGTTACTTTGCAATAAGTAAGATAACAACTCGTTTGACACTGAGCTGGTGTAGCTCAGTTGGTTATTGCGAGGCCTTCGATCAATCCTCAGGACCTCTACGTCTGTTTCTTGATTCTTGGAGTGCAACCTTGTGACTCAAAATCCCTTGAGATATAAATAACAATGAAACAGCCACCATCTTGGTTGATCTATAAGAGAAGCTAATGAGGAATACTTTGTATAGTCAACCGACATGGCAGCTATGACGTAACATACACCTCAAGAATTAAAAGTGTTCAAAGGCTGAAGCTACACGAATTAGAGAAAAGTCGAAGTAGACATAGATCCTGAGGATACTGAGGTTTTTCTGCGGGTTCTCCGGTTTTCATCCATTCGCGAAACCAACACTAAATTCCAATTCAATCTGTGAGTGTAGACATGCCCTGACTTAGATCTGCCCCGAGGTCAGTTTCAGGGTTCGATCTGAGAGTTAGCCGTGCCCTGACTTAGATC